ATGCCAGTACTCTGTACAATTTGTGTCAAGTTTTGTACCTTGAGTGTATTCTGACGTTCCATCCAGTGGGTCCACCCATACCACCACCTGCAAACAGTTTACACTAGATGAGAAAGGGAGAGCTCTGATCAAAAACCAATTACATGTGGACTGGCAGACTGAGACCACTCACCTCATGGTCTAGCACACTCCCTAGCTCTTCGGGACACTGAAGCTGCAAGACCTGTGGGTCACTATCAGTCACCACCCAGTCTGATGGAACTTCACAGTTAGAAGGGCCCTCCTCCCCAATGATGGTCACAGATGGAAACTGGCGTGACAGTGATGTAACAATGCAGCGCTGAGCTGAACGATCAGCTTCTGTCTGCAAGTCGTTCTTGCCCTACAGCACAAGTGTCAAAAATGAAGTCGCATATGTTGGATCACGTGATAGATGTAAAACAACTGGTGAGATTCTGCTTGTTTTGTGGTTATCTTAGGGAAGTAAGAGGAAAATCTTGTCAACATTTACAACATGTTACAGCAAGTTTATGAAGAGCAAGCAGCAAGGGCAATGCAGGGAAAATGGTAAAGGTGACAAACTATGGCAATGGAACTTGAAGTTTCAACACAGTCCTCATCCAATTCAATCCTATTACATTAAGATCCATTTTAATATCCCCCCCCCCAAAGAAACAGTTTATATGCATTTGTTCCATCTCCATCTGAACCACACCAGCTGTACCAGTTACAGACCTACTTCAATATGGGCAGTATTTATGTACTGAGACTTTATTATTCTCACAACATGCAGGTTTATTCATACCTTCTCCACAATTCCCAAGTCTCCCTGGCTCATGACATCTCGTATGATTTTTCCTGCTCGGTTCACAGCTGTGATTGATGATGCTACAAGACGTAAGATTAGCGGTGCATTCTGTGCCATCTTGATGTCTGCAACAGAATGGCAGGCAGACCTTGAAATGTAACTGTTCTATTGTCATGGCCTTCACCATACCCCGCTACTGTCTTTCAAGGCCATGGTTTGGCTTGTCATTATTTGTACATTTTACTGTCTGTATAGTTAGTTGCATAATCACTCTCATGTTACATACACTATGAATGTGGTTTCTTCTGAATGCTAAACTAGGCCATATGCCAGTTCATTAATTTATCATCCATAAATATCCAAATGTATGGAATTTTAAAGCATACAGAGAAGCCATCACACAGGATAACCTTGTAACAAGTCTAGTGTCAGTTCTAAATGACTTCCATGTAGAAAAGTTGGGTTATAGCCTCCTGACCAGAAGATGTAGAAAATGTTTCTAAATGTAATGTTTACATACAGAGCCATATGAATGTAGTTAATGTAATTTTAAATGTGTTAGAACTTAATAATAACAAGCCTGTCTACTTGGGCAGTGTACAACAGCTCCGATCCCGGCAGTAGTTTCCTGCGAAACACAAATACCTACCACAAGTCCACGGCGTTAAAAATCAGGAAAACACCAACATGTGAGATTTGATGTTCTCACGGCGGTTATGATGTTGCCCTTTCGGGTTGTAAAGACGTGAGATCGTGTAGGTGTCTGACGGTGGACAGACTTGTGTTCTCCGAAACATTGGTATCTGCAAGCCCATAACGGCGTTGCAAGCTAGAAGACCAAGGCCGACATCTTGGCCGTGAGAACCACAAATCTCATAGTTTGGTTTTACGTTTTACACGGATTGTTCTACATAAATGACCCACCTCTTTACCATGGCTTAATTACATTTCATCTCAAGTTTCTCACCTCTTCGTCCGTCAATTTTTTTAAAATTAAATCGATGTTTTTCTTGCGTTTGGTGTTATGTACTTGTTTCGAGTGGCAAACATAAACTCGCTCTTATTTTTGGCTAATTCATTTATTACTTGCAACATCATGGCTGCCAATCACAATAAATTTACCTGACTTTATCGACGTTATCTATCCGACAAAGTGGATATGTAATAATGATATTTGTTTAAAATTAAATAATATAATATTTATTTTGTATTTATAGCTAGAAATTATTCTTAAAATTAATGTTGTGTTCAACCTAATTGGGATATTCTACATTACTTTATTTCATTTTGTAGTCCACGTACACGTAACTAACTCGTATGGTGGCTGACATACGAGCCTCAGCAGAAGTCTGACAAGTGCAGTGGTTTCCATGGTGTTTGCTAGCATTTAGTATGAATTTAAGGTTGAGAAATGCAATTTGAATTTATTTCGTGATGTGGTCTTTCTTTTCACGTGATCCATCAAAGGACTTTCCCTATGATATTGGGGAACCCGTTCCAGGTCTTGAAGATAAAAGTGTATGGAGCTTGCACAAGGGAAAGAAGAAGGTATGTATTTACTGTTCTCTTGCTTGCTACAAAATTAGTAATAATAATAGTAGTAAAATTTGCAATAATAATAACTTGAAGTGGTCGAGTTACACCAATCAACAGCAAAAGAAAAAAAAGTCAGTTTAATACATTTGAAACAGGTATTTAAGAAATTAGATTTCCTAAAAATATTAAACATTTCTTTTTCTTCTGTTATAGGGGTCGGGAGAAGAAGTGTCAATATTTGTTTTTGATATAAAGAACGGCAGTGAAACTCAATTTGACGTAGGAAAAACTGCTGTAAAGAGATTGAAGACATTACGACATCCGAGCATTCTTACATACTTGGACAGCTTTGAAGTAAGAAATGAACCAAGTTTGCTTCAATGTAATGTGAAGTGTTGCGCTTGTACTCACATTATATGTTTATTGTTTGAATTTCCAGTCTGAGAAGATTCTGTACTTGGCAACAGAGTATGTAGAACCTTTGGAAACACACATAACACAGTTGTCTAAAGAAGGTCACCAGCGAGAACTCTATCTTGCATGGGGTATATTTCAGATCACTGTAAGTTCCTTAGTCTGTATATTTCCCTTCATTATCAGTATTTTGTTTGAGGGAATGATGTAGTTTAGATGTTCTGTGTAGTTTGATTAGAGCCATTTCTACTTTGCATGAACAAAGGTCTAAGTTAATGATACATTGAAGAAGAATTTGTGGTACTTGAGAAAAATCTATGAGAATTGTAACCTCATTTACAGCGTGCTCTCAGTTTCCTAAACAATGATGGCAACCTGCGACACAACAATGTGTGCCTGTCGTCTGTGTTTGTCAATGTAGCAGGGGAGTGGAAGTTGGGAGGAGTTGAATATGTGGCAGGAGCCAGTGAGGGTACAGGCCTTCCAATCAAGATCCTGCCTGCATTGGAGAAGTACGACCCCCCTGAAAAGTCTGACCCCAGCAAGCAGCGGCTTGTTACAAAATGGTACTATAATCACCAGCCTGAATAGTGACTGGTTTTAATGTTATGCTAGACCTACTTGGGTGGGGTTTTGACAGAAGCTTCAAGTAGGTTGTAACTATCTACTTTTGTGCCCTCACTACTAATAATCTTCTTTACTACTCATTCTATCATATGGAGCCGGGGGGAGGGGGGGTGTTCACATCTGTGAACTATTTACCTTCCCAGAATTAGTAAGGAAGTCTGAACATTGTTTGCAGAAGGTCAATAAAAATCTACTCTGGCACTATATAACAGAAAAAAATGAGCAATTGTTGATTTTATGGGGTTTGGCACTTCAGAAGATTAATTTGTTGCGTGATAAGTTCTTGTCTGAGAGTGAAATGTGGAGCTTATGAAACATTTGTCTTTTGCCTTTGTTTCAGTTCCACAGACATGTGGGGTCTTGGCTGCCTCATCTGGGAAGCTTTTAATGGGCTGCTTTCTCAACAGACTGCATTGAAAGACTTGGAAAATGTAATGAGAAGTTTGAAAAATTCATTCATTATTGTAATGTTACTGATGAAATTTTAGATTTGATTAATCTTAATTCTTTTCCGTAATTGTTACTACTGAAAGCATTTGCTGTAAACACCGAACATGATGGCTGATAAAGAAAAAAGCTGTCCCACTTGGGGGGGGGGGGGGAGCCTACTCATTCATAACCCTCGCACTAGATGGGGTGAGCAGTCAGCTTCATGTCCCAGCTGCACTTTCCCCCGGGAAAGGAACCCCGTCCCGTTGGATAGGAGACTGTTTAGGCCCCAGAGCCAATCTGGATGCAGAAGCTAGAGGAAAAATCCTGCTTCTGCCGGGGATCGAACCCTGCTGGTCGTCCATAGCCAGTCACTATACTGACTGAGCTACCCCAGCTTATCATGCCTGAAAGTTTTCCACGCTGTTGTATTGCAGATCCCAAAGCAGTTGAGTGCAGTATATTGTGAGTTGGTTGGTGCAAATCCATCATCCCGACCAAACCCAGCAGACATCATCACACGCTGTCGCAAGCTGGGGGGTTACTTCAAGAATGACTTGGTGGATGCTCTGCTTTTCCTAGAGGAGATCCAAATCAAGGAAAAAGGAGAGAAGAACCGTTTTTTTAGTGCCATCACATCCCAGCTGGACAACTTCCCAGAAAATGTGTGTCGCCATAAGATACTGCCACAACTCATCACTGCATTTGAATATGGTGATGCAGGGTCTGCTGTCCTCATGCCCATGTTCAAGGTGGGACTTGCCTAGCTTGGACCTGTAAACCAAGTGTTAATGATCTAGTGTTGTCAGTTATTGTTACTAGTATATTTCTAATATTAACTATTAATTTTGTAATAAGTGCAGTTTTACAATTTGAAATTTTCTTTTAGATTGGGATTTAAATGAAAGTGTGTCACTGTACTTGAGATCCAAAGTATGTAACTTTACTGAAGTCTACTGACCACTTCTCCTTGCTAATGACAAATTGTCTTTTCTCACTGTTACAGCTTGGGCGGCTGCTGGACGAGCCAGACTATCAGAAGAAGATAGTGCCGTGTGTTGTGAAATTGTTTGCATCCACAGACAGGGCCACACGGATACGACTCCTGCAGCAGCTTGAGCACTTCATAGGTGAGTAGTGAAGGACTAGTGTGTGTGGTTATTTTAAAGAGAGTTTGTTGATTTGGGGTCAAAATACATGGATGTAACAAAATAAATAGTTTGTCATTGTAGGCTGCGATGAGGTTGTATGAGTAAGGTGTATTTAATGTGATAAATTTGTGATTAGACATTGAGGCATACGTAGAGTGGCTGGGGACTGCTGCCACAAATATTGTATGTAGTGGGCAGGGTTAGTTGGCAGACATATTTTGTAAAATTGGTCTGTCATTGTATTACGCAGGACATTTGCAGGCAGCTACAGTGAACGATCAGATCTTCCCTCAGGTGGCACATGGCTTCATGGACACGAATCCGACCATCCGAGAGCAGACCGTCAAGGTAAGTGAGCTTTATGCTAAGAATGATTGACTTGCTGGTGAGGAGACCCCTAACACTGATGTATGTTGTGTTGCAGTCTGTGATCCATCTTGCCCCGAAGCTCAACTACAACAATCTGAATGTGGAGGTTTTGCGTCACTTTGCCAGGCTGCAGTCCAAGGATGAGCAGGTGAGGAGTGCAGAACAATTGGTGGGATAGGGTCACTTGAGCAGTATCAGTATGCTTTCTGCTTGCAGGGGGGCATCAGGACCAACACTACTGTATGTCTGGGCAAGATCGCTCAGCATCTGCATCCTCAGATACGACAAAAGGTCCTCATCTCTGCGTTCATCCGTGCCATGCGGGATCCGTTTCCTCCGGCCCGCAGTGCCGGTAAGTCGTGCCACTTGCGTCTAGCCAAGCTACCAAAGATATAGCTAAAAAAATATTTTTGTTGTCTCTCAGGTGGACATCCTTGGTTTTTTCTTCATCTTGTAAGTGCTATACTTTATCTGTAAAAATAGTCTTTCAGGCTTTGCCCATCATCTAAACTACAAACAGAAATAAAGATTCAGTGTTTAGGAGTTCCCAACCAAGATCATATACAGATTGTAATGCACCATTGCCAGAAACCTTCAGACTTTATTTCCACTTCTTTTATTTCATTATTGTTACACACTTTTCTAAGAAATGCCCAGTTTATTCCAAAAGTTTGCTTTACATGGACTGAGGGTGCTGGAGAAGATATTTGGATTAAAGAAGGGTGAAAAATAGGGTGACTGAAAATCTTCTGTAACAAATATATGTTCAAAATTATGAGGGTGATTAAATCCAAGGAGCATGTGATGGATGAATCAGGTATTTAGCAGCAGTTTGGAAACATGGTCATAGAACATTCTAGGTGAGAATATATTAATTTATTTGTTTATATGTTGTTTAATAAATGGTATGTCAGTAGTTCAGACTTTACAGTGATTGGACGGTAATGAATTGGAAATAATTAGTGATGTCCGAACTGTTAGAAATTGCTAGTGGAGTCCAGTTTTTAAAAAGAACTCGATTCAACTCAAACTAATAAAGTGTTTAAAAAATTGAGTTTTGACGCTTATTTCGTCATTTCAATACCGCGCCTAGGATGCATTTCCTTCGTAATCGATAAAGCAACTGTTGACTTTCGGCTCGAAATGAGTTTGTGAACAGACTCAGTGTCTTGCAGTGATGAACTTTACTGTGGTTCCACTTCTAATTAATGATGTGTTATTGTCTTCAGGGGTGCTAGCACTGGCTGCTACGCAGCAGTATTTCCTTCTGTCTGAGGTTGCAGTGCGCATTCTGCCTGCGCTCTGCCAGCTCACAGTTGACTCAGAGAAGTCTGTGCGTGATAATGTGTTCAGGACCATCAAGGGCTTTCTTGGAAAGCTGGAGAAAGTTTCTGAGGATCCTAGCCTCAGAGAGTCCATGGGTAAGAGCAGAAGCACAAGTATAGAGTGAGTAATGGGGTGTGTCATGTCATGGCAGTGAGGAGCACTGTGACTGTTACCTAACTGTAGACGGCTCTTTTTGGTCGACTCTGATACAGTGTTGTGTGATGATTATACACACTCACACTCTTACATTTAATCACCATTTTTTCATAAGATGGGTATAGAATGCAAAGGCAACATTGTGAACTGTTGTCATATGTTGTGCTTTTGATTTCTAATACAAATTAAGTTTTGGTTTTATCAGGGTAAATATCAGCAGGCAGATTATTAATTCAGCGATGTTCTCTGAAGTTTTTCTGTTGCCATTTTGTCAATGTGTTGTTCATTTATTTTATTACTTCATTATAATTGATGTGCTGGCAGGTTACAAATGCCAACCTGATGTTATGAGGTGGTTTCTTACTATACAATTTGGATTTTCAGAGCAGGGAAGGAAGTGAGATGGTGACGTAGACTCGGTGATTTCCTTTTTGGATGTGCCCAAAATTATGCTATTTGTAGCAATGTGTAAATAAATTGGATCTGATTTTCTTCATGGATACATCACATTCATGAAGAAATTCATAGCAGATTGTATTTAGTGAAAGCTTACTACCATTTGGTTTACAATCACATCTCCTGTCTAAAATCTTAGGATTAAAATATACTAACCTATAATATTACCTATATTCTTTAGGTGTAAAACTTAGTGTATGTTTATAAGGGGAGAACATATGTTGAGGATGTTTGAGAAAAAAGCTGTGGAGACTGTTTGGAAGTAAGAGGGAGGAAGTTTAGGAGGTTGGAGAAAATTTTATAATTAGCACCTTTGTAATTTATACCCATTGGTGAATGTTATTAAGATGATGAAATGAAAGGTAAAGATGGTCGGCACATTAAGCAAGGTAGAAGATATAAGAAATGCTGAAGGGAAGCATCCACTTGGAATGGCTAGACATGGAAAGGGGATTAATATTAAGACTTTTTTGAGGAAGTAGGATGTGAACATGTGGGCTTGATTTATTTGGCTCAGAATAACTTCCACTGGCATGTTGTAGTAATCACAGTAATGAACCTTCATGTTCGATGACTAGTTGAGAGATTATTAGCTTCTCAAAGACTCCACTCCAAGAAGTTTGTTTGGTGAGTGGAGTAGCAAAACTTATGCCACTTGTTTTGTTATCCTACTCGCTGCAGAGGCTGATGTCCACACGGCCACACCGAGCCTGTCTAACGCTGCTGCCACATGGGCAGGCTGGGCTGTAACTGCAGTTACTTCTAAGTTTTATCGGAGCCAGTCTGATACTGTCAAGTCAATAACGCCTGTCACCAGCAAGACCCTGAGCAAGCCTGGATCTCTGGGTACGTAATGTAAGGTGAACCTGAGATCTCGCTTTTTAAATGATCGGTTTGCAGGTCGGTGGATTGGTCAAGGCCTCCGGTTAAATAAAATGCATTCACGCCACTTTTACCAAGAAATTTCAACAGAACACCTTTACTTAGATCATCTCACATTGAACACCTACATATTTGCTTCCCATTTGTTTTTACCTTTATCAAAACAAGAATCTTTTCATGAACAGAGACATCAATTGTAATGAAGAGACGAGAAATATGTTGACTGTAAATGCCACCATGGATCATTAAGGTTTAATGTATGCATGCTTATTTATTTACTGGATTATAGAATGAGTTGATGTTTATGTTGTATTATATATAAGTGCTAATTCTGGTAAGAGAACCCAACAGTTCAACATTGCTAATACCAAGGCCTGCCATTGGCCACAATCCTTAGCCAGTCGCATCTCCTTCCCTTCTGCCACTTCATTCCCCTAAGATAAATCTTGATGTTATGTTTCCATTTCACTCTTAGTCCTGCAAGTGATCATTTTCCATTCATTTTGTGCTTAATTCTGTCATTTTCAGTCCAAGTTTCATGTCCAGCCCATCATAAATTTTGCTTCACTAACATAACAATTGTAAGTGACCATGAAGTTTCCCACTTACTTTATCTCAAGTGTTTAAGTATGTTGCAGTAATTGTGTGGATGGAAAACTTAATAAAGTGTATTGAATATCTGTTTAAATACTGGCATGCAATATGTCTAAAATAAAATCTCGCAATCAGTGGGAACAGGAGTCCTGTGCCATGCCTGCTACATGGATTGATTGCTTTGTAATGTTGGCAGAGCAACCATCTAGCAGCAGCATTTCTACAACAACATCGAGTGTGACGTCAATGACATCACTGGAGCAGGAAGAGAGTAAGGGAGCTGAGTCGGTGTCTGACTATGATGAGGTTTGGGACACAGAGAACTGGGGTGAAATGGATGTGAGTATTGTCACTGCAGAAAAGCTGCCTCACAAGTGATGCATCAGACTTGCAAACATTTGCTGTGTATTTTTCAGTGTAGTCGCCATTTCTTTCAATGCACTTGTTCCAACGATGAATAAGAGCATGTGGTCCTGCATGGTAGAAGCTGCCTTTTGGATCATGTAACAGTTTCCGCACAGCTGTCATTTTAAATTTGCTCTGCCGACACAGTCCAGTGTTTAAAGGACCAAGCAGATGAAAGTTTTAGTGTGTGGTAGTACAGCCTACCCCAGCCTCGAGTGTGGTTAAGAATGTCTTAACTGTGTTGATGTCTGGTGGTGAATCCTGTGGTAATGTCTTCGCCCCAGTGAACAATTCAGAATTGTTAATGGACCCCCTCCCCCACTTTCAGAAAATTTAGCAAGGATGACTTCTGAATGTCTCAAAAAACAGAGCACATTATTGTGGGTTTTGTTTTTTCTTTACCAGTGAGCATTTGTGGTGCCATTCCGTAGACTGACTGACTGTGGTTAGCCACTCATCCTTATGGATGTAAGTTAACCCTTGCAGCACCAATCGCTCACAGAATTTTAGTAACCATGTATGAATAAACTCTGCTCATATCAACATTTGCATCACACCTAGATGTATGTTTTATTATTTGGAAACTCATTGTCCAGTTTTGATCTAATAACCAAGCCGCCTCTTCTTCTGACATTCTCTCAACCTGAGTGAAATCTGTCACTGCTTGATTCCTCCTGCTGGTTTTGAGGCTGGTGCATGTGGACACATTAAACTTACACTTTTGCAGACACATTATTTTAGTTATTAAGTATTTTTAAAGATTTGTTGTTTCTGCAGTTATACAGTAGCTGATGTGGCAATTCTTTGTCATTAATTCATTGAAACTTAAGGTTGTGTCCATGTTTATGGAAGATAAGGACCTCATAAATGGCACTCGTTCATGCAGAGTAACTGTCATTACAGTTTCATTCTTCATAATATTGGGTGTAACTACCTGCAACACGCATGGCCTGCTTAATATCCTGCCTTTAATTTTACCAACTTTGGGAAGATCTGCTTCAATGGCTGGTAAATTATTAATAGTTTTTTGCTTTACTTCATATAAATTATTAGGGGAGCGAGGTTTGCCAGATTTATGTTTCACAGCTGTGACTGCAGATTCGCTGTGGTGAATGTTGCAGACCCCTGCAAGCCCACCAAGTACAGCATCGGAGTCCAAGAGTCCCGTGCTGGGAACCAAGGAGAGGAAGGGGACAGATGGATGGGATACAGAGGAGTGGGGCAGTCTGGAGGAAGACCCGGTATTGGACCCTTGAGAAAGGGATGAGCACTTTACCAGAGCAAACAGACAAATAACTTTGGTGAATTAGATTCAGATGACAGGTATTGAAATGCAGGAAGCCCTTTATGGCTATGTTGTTTGTTTATAGCGTGGCTCTGTTCCCAGCTGTTGACTCTTATTCCTTTTGTAGCCGGTTGATTTGTCAGGCAAGAATGTCAGAGATAGTGACAGCCACAGTTGGGCTTACAGCAATAAATCATTCACAAGAGCCTCTTATCTGCATGTAGCGTAAGAGGTGTGATAAGTGATTACAGGCTGGATGAAGGGGTTTCTCTTTGCCATCCTCCAGACCAGCCCTGGAGATAAAGCAGCTAGATCATAAAACTGACCACTTATGTCCATGTAGTGCTGAGTCTAAGAATGTGTGGTGCTCTACCTTCATGCCTTCTGAAATCTTCATGGTGTGGCATTCATTTATTATAAATCAATTACATTTTGCTAATTATCTGTATCATATACATTTCAAAGTAATTTATTTAGCTGTATAAAAAACAAACATGAGAGAGAGACTCCAAAGGTCACAAATATTTTATCTTTTGCACTGAAATTATATTTGTAAAAATTATTTTAAAAAAAGCTGTAATTTTCCAAAAAAGTCACTTAAATTTGTATATCTTGTTATGGGGGCCACATGAGGGAGCTGTACAGGTTTCAGATATAGGATATAGGGCTAAATGCCTATATTCCCATCGGTGTGTAATGTAATGCTCTAACTGCTGTGTCCCCAAAACATTGACCACAAAAATGGAAATTTGAGTCTTGTACCACAAAATCCTGTACACTTCCATGGTTCAATTTTTTTTTGTCAACACTAAATATGTAATATTTTGGAAAGAATAAAATGTAACAGTGACATACCAGAAACATAATTGAAAATCAGCTTGTACATATTTGTTAAAATGCCATCTGTTACAGAAAGAAAGTAAATTTGTTGTGAAATTTCTGCAAATTACTACATGCTGTTATGTACTGAGGGCTTAAATGGCAGTAAATACAAATAGAAGTGTTGGAATCCTTGGGATTAAAATGAGCCATCTTCTGTATTCAAGTCAGGGAACAGTTACCTTGGTAGGGACCCATGTTCTGGCAAGTGCTCCTCCATTTATCTCATATTTTTCTTTCGTGGTTCCATGTGTAGAAGGTGGCAAATTCGGCCACATCACCAGGGTATGAGAATGGTTCTGGATTCATAGTTACATGTATATGCAAAAGAACTAGATACAAAATTTGAACATGAAATTGTCATGGTAAGAGAATTTCTTGATGATTTGCATAACCATCATCTGCTTAAGAAAATTGTCATTGCTTGGGGTAGTTGTGTCTTTCTGGGATAAGATGAATAATGTCTTAAGAGATGATATAATACAGTGATAGTAGCATAATCACCTGAACTGCTTGGTGTGTTCCTCACCTTCATATCTGCCAGTGTGTTGTTTCAAAGCATGCTGATATAAACATGGACATGACATGGTAAAAATAAGTAGTACTATATGTAAAAATATTTTGTCCTTCAGGTAGCAGAGAGGGATCCAGGAGAAAGATGGGGAACAGCAGACTTTGCTGTTGTGGAGGACACGGCTGGAATGAAGTTTGTAGCCAGCCACAACTGGGGAGATGGCACCAAGGAGGAGTTGGCAAACCGAAAGCAGGTGATTTTCACGTCTGACATTAGCAATTGAAGGTAGATAAAACAGAACAGATACACACAGCAGTGTTGTGCTTTCTCTGATGTCGTGTTCCAAAGGCTGCAGCTTGTAGCTCACATCTTATAACTTTATTATGACAAACTGTTGTGTATGTACTGCAGTGTCTTATGATAAGGACTGGCTTCAGTTTATGGGTTCCACTTCCAGACAGAGATAGGCTTAACCTTTGAAATGCTGTGCATGTTTCTGATCCTGAGAATGGATAATTATTTATGAGAAAAACGGTGGGCCCATTTTCCTGTGTCGTGTGTTTCAGGGCTGGGAGGACACTGAGTGGGAGCCTCTCCAGGAGACTGGTGGTGGTATGTACATGAAAACATGCAATTATCCTGGTTAGGTAGTTTCATTAAATTGTGGCATGTAGTCTTATGTTAAATCTATCTGCAGCCTCAAGCAGATTGGAAGAGGCGCGCAAGAAGCGAGAGGAGCGGAAAGTGCAGCGCCAGAAGGAACTTGAAGCTCGAAGAGCCACCAAACTGTCCGGTGGACCAATGAAACTAGGCACCAAGAAAATGTAGCTGGGGCATGGATCACATTAGAAACAAAATGGATTTTCCAGGTAAAAAATACATGCTGTAGGAAGTGAAAGGATAGCCAGCCTGAATAAAACATTTCCCAGATGTCCTTGGTTCAATATAGGACACTTCGGCCCTCACCAGACCCTGACTGCAGTTGGAGATATGTTTGTTGGTTTCTGCAAATACCTGACTTTGGGTCGAACCTATATAGTACCACTGTTACAAAGAGTTAACAGTATTGGAAACATATTTGACAGACTGTGGAGGTATAGCTCCTCTTTCTTGACCTTGACACTAGATGGGGTTAGTGGTCAGCATCATGCTCCAGCCATGCTTTACCCCCGGTACCTATTGGATAGGAGACTGGGTGGGCCTCAGAGCCAGTGTGGACGCAGAGGCTAGAGGAAAAATCCTCTGCCCCCGTTGGAGATCGAAGCCGTCTTCCAGCCCATAGCTAGTCACTATACTGACTGAGCTATCCTGGCTCCCTACAAAACTAACAGCTGATTTAATATAAGATGTTCCTCAGTCTTAAAATGTGGAATTGAGCTGTCACCCTTCACTTCATTGGATCCGACTGACTAGTTATAAAACAATTTCTCCATTTTCTTATCTTCATTGTTTTGACACGATCTTTCCAGTTATTCTAAAGTTGTGAATAAAATATGTTACTGGTGAAGTTTGTAGTTGTGTAATTCTTTCTTCACAGAAAGCACGTAATCTGCTGTCCGTCTCATGATGAAACTGATCCCAGTGAAATAAGAATGGCTTGGCTGCCTCATGGGTACAAGATTTCAGCTCCTACAAATCTTCAGGATATTACTACTATATACGTATTGCTGTTGGATCACTGATATTTGTTTTTCATACACACTACAGTTTTCTGCAAGGTAAGCCCATGAGCAGACCATGTGTGACTGATATGAGTATATTTCTTTATTTAATATTTTTCTAATAGACAGCATTATACATACTGGCTTTTCCAATGATGTGGAGGTTCCTTTCTGCAGGCCATTCACAAGTGGAACGTGCATGAACAAGAGTCTTCATATTATAAATATGTTGCTAGCAGCACAAACTGACACATATTTCTTTTTATTTGTAGTCACTACATAAAGGAAAGTTACAGATCATGAAGAAATCTGTGCATTTATAAAATGAGCCATTTTTTAAGAAGTTAAAACTCAGTTTCTTGTAAGATAGTGACATTGTAAACAAGTGCAGACATATGAAATAATCTGTCAGCTTTTTATGTACAGCTCCAATACAAAGTTTAATTGAAATCAATTCAGTAATTTGAGTGATGAAGTTTAAGGCAGAAGAATGTGACGTCTCCATTAAAGTTTGAATGGCTTTTTGTTGTCAAAACGGATCTGCATGTAGTTGGAGCCACCTTGTTCAAGTTTGTATCCAAGTCCAGTGTATAATGGGATCATCCTGTCCTTACAGTCAAGTGTGATCTTGTAGCAGTTCAGATGCTGTGCCAGCAGTGTGATGGTCATGATGATCCTGCAACAAACTTTTCATGTGTCATGTATCTCATATTCTACCTGCACTTTGAAGTACTGTAAGGGTACTCACAGTTTTCCAAGCTGCTTCCCACGGTAGTCATCACTCACCACCACATCCTCCAGGCGCCCTCTCTGCAAAGAGAAATTCTTATTACTGTGTAGTGATTAAAACTTAAGCGACACAATGAATTTACCCTTCGGAAAGATATCTGAAGATTCTGTGTCACCCAATTTGATCTGTCTGTCAATCTTGGTATTGAACTAGGAGGGACAACTTCAGTTGTCTTAGGCACTAAGACCACTGCAAGGGTAAAAGTCACAAAAGTTTCTACCCAGAATACTGTGGCACACATACCAAGTGAGCAGGATAGCCTGTTTTCTGTTCTCACCCCACATACACTTGTCCCAGACCAGCCAGCCACTTTGGACCCATCTGTATACCGGACTAGTTCTAGTGAAGGATCATAGACCAGATACATAACCTTGTTTTCATGACAGGATGTCCACTTAAATGAAGTCCCAAAGGCAAGCATGGTGTAATTTTGTGATGGATTATCCGTTCGATATACAAGGATCTGGGCATTACCTACTTCCAAACCCTGACCAGACTCTAAACCCATACCTGTGAGCATCTGCCACCAAGTGGAGGCAGACCTTCATATGTTTCCTCCATATATTTAGATCCTGAAACATCCTTCCATTATGACTGTAATGCTAATTTTCATTGTGAAAAAAAGTTCATATATAGTTCTGGATGAATTCCCTTGCTAGCCTGCAAATATTTAACAGTTTATTAATGGATGGAACTTACCACTGCACACTCGTGGATGAACTTCTGTTCCACAATCAGTGTAGCAGACCCCACAATATGACTACTCCGTGTGTCCTCTATCACAGTCACATAGTAAGTGTTGGGGCAAGCCTTCATTGTTGTGTAACGCCCTAGAAATATGCATTTTAAAAGGAGCCGTCATATCTTCCGAACACTGGGATGGACATATTACCCATTTTGATTTAATATGTTGACATTTGTGAGTAACTGATGTACTTGGACTTCACATCCACTAACCAACCAATCAAGAATTTGTATGTTTTAGTGGATGGCAAACATTTGTAAAATGCTCAAATAAATCAGGAAGATACTAAAACTTTCAAAAATTCTTGGTTAAACTTTTGTCTTGGTTGGTACTTTTTACCAGTAAGAAGATATTGTTGAAAAGAACAACTTGTTTGGGGACCCTGATGCCAACAGCATGGTGATTTACAGTGATATTTCTAGCATGACACTTTGGTTAGGCAGAGCCAATTACAGTTACAACCTTCAGAGATGCAACTTCCTCATTCCACTACGTACTCAGGAACTGGTCCTTGGAGATGTTGCCAACCTTGGTGAGCTGGCTAAGCAGCTGGACAAAGCCTGCAATAAAACTAAACATAATTGTTGACTCTGTTTTGAGAAAGGTAAAAGTGTTGTATGGGGGGAGTTAAGTTTCATCTCTACAAGTCTGGAAGGTATTTATGAATAAAGGCCACAAATTTACATATATACATCACCTTTGTCATAGTCTGCTGGGCACAGAGGTCGCACAATCAGAGCTTCACCTGGTTCACTTGGAGAAATAGGTGGATCAAACTTTGTTTTAATTTGAGAAAAGTCTAACCTGAGCAGGTCTGGATTGTACAGTGGTTCACTGCTCAAAGCAGCATTCTGTAACCCAACAATGGAAATACTGCTAAAACAAAATCAGCAATAATTAATATAAAAGTAATTTAGTACACTACCATAGAGCCCCTGTACATCTATTCTATTCTAGTGATACTGCTATTCCTTATCTACAATTTAATATAGTATGCATTAACAACAGTATTTCGCACCGCTTAAATTGAACTGTTCTGGAAGTAGGTGGGGTATTTGTTACCTCATCATCGGATCCCATCATACAAATTTGACACAAAAATTGTTACGTTGATATTCAGGGCTGAGACAATGAATATCTCTAACCATACCCTGAAACACGGTTCACAGGAACTACGGCCACGCAACCTGTTCCTTTCCCACGTGTGGAAGAAACAGTGTAACCAACTTATTTCGATAAGAGCGTATTTCACGTTCCACCCGTGGGTTGCTTATGAAGTGAAAAAATTATTCCAGAGAAAAGTAATACCCCTTCCCGTTTATATAATTATTAAATGCCTCACTTCATTCATATACTTTGTTCCTCATTTTAGTAACAAATAATTGCAGTGGCCTTGAAAGATCATTCTGCACAGTTTTGTCAAATTGTTGGTTATATTGTCGATCGTAATTTGTCTCGAATTTTAAGAGAACGAAGAGATCGATATTATAAGAAGCCAATGGATGTGCGAAGATTTAGTAAAATTTGCGTTTTATACTAAAAGTTGTGAATTATGGCTCATCATTACGTTGTTACGGCACATAAGCCCACTGCAGTTACAGCATGTGTTACCGGTAAGACAATCAAGAAGATAAGAAGTATACAGTTGCAAACTATCATTATCCGGCCTTGTTTCTGGGTTTGAGGTCTTTTGTTTGTTTGGAGCGCGGATGTTTAGTGTAGGGTGATTGCAGCAAGCACTGTTTTATTATCAAGTTGCTGTAGTACACATAGACGTAAAATAGGTTTTCTACTACCACATACAAATTTGTTGCACTTGAAAGTTAAAGCTTCGTTTTAATTAGTTTTTGAAATTTTATCGGCCAACGTAGTCAGTTTCGGCATTTTTGTAGCAGTACATCCATGCATTTCGTAATCTGTAAAAGATAACACAGTAAAATTTGTTATCACATCGAAGAATATTACAACGTCCATCTGGTAGGGGCACGCAACAAACTTATAATTTCAGGTGAAATTTTTTCTTTCTTTCATTCAATTGTTCAACTTAGGTTGCCTTTTAACCATGTATTTTTATATTTGCAGGAAATTTCACATCTCCTAGCGATCTCAATCTCATCTTGGCCAAGAATACTCGATTGGAAATATACCTTGTAACTCCAGAGGGTCTCCGCCCTATCAAAGAAGTTGGCCTGTATGGAAAAGTGTCTGTGATGAAGTTCTTCAGACCACCAGTAAGTTATGTGCAGCATATCTCAATATGATAGCTGTTCTTTAGTCTGCTTGTCAATCGATTTGTATGTTGTGAATTTTCACACATTGGAATGATGGGACACTCCATGAATAAACCAACATATCTGACAGTAAAATTTACACCTTGCCATCTCAGGTTCTGATGAAATTGGGTGAGCGTATTAGTCCTGTTGCCAAACATCTTTGCCTTTTTTTAACTTCTGTAAAATGGTTTTTGAAATATGGGGTTTTAATTGCCCCTACTGTGAGTCATACATCTCTACTTTGAACCTTAATGAATGGAAAATTAGGTTTTATATAAAGTGGTCACTGCTGAGTTATGTTGTGTGTACAATATTGTGTAATATGAAACCAGAAGATAATTTTTTTACAGAATTCATTACAGGTTCCAAAGTTCTTATGGTCCCAAAATTATTTTTTTGCCCACTTTGAGAGGGATATGTGACTGACCCCTTAGATGAGTTTAAGATACCAAATGCCAGAGTTCTGCAGTTACTTTCAAAAGTTCAAAACATGATCACTTACAAGTTGTGAGGTATATATGTATATTGTTAGAAGGAAAATTTGATAAGTATTACATTGATCTCTAGAATGTTACTTTAACTGGATTATGAAATGAGCTATTCATGAAAAACCTTGCACACTTTCATTTTATTTTTCTTCGTTGCTTTTTTTTTTTTTTTAATTGTGTTTTAAAAACCACAGAAATGGACTAAGATTGGTTGGTGGACGAAGTGGCACTGGAACAGGTTTTTCACCAAGTTCTTTGGTTTGCCATTGCTCCATAATTGCCACTGCCTCATTAGGTCTGTGATAGTCCTGGCCAAGCAGAGTATTACTATAAACCTTGGCCCTAATTTAGGAACTTTCAGTATATTAGTTATAGTCAGGATCTTATGTCAGTTATGCCTCAGTGAATATGATGATAGCTTTGAAAGCAGTAATTAATAGCAGTGAGGAGTGGAAGAACACTTATTTGTGTTAAGAAAATTGTATTTACCAAGTGTGCATTGTACCCCTCACCAATGCTGCATATGGAAGTTGGTCCAGCTATTCAAAGTAAAGTTTGAAGTCTGGTAGGTTGTTTGCCAAAAGATCTGGGTGACAGTATGTACAGTGCATTCAGTGATGAAGTTTAACACAACTGTTACATAGCGGCTTCCAGCAGAAACTGCTATAGTATAGGTAAGTTGATTTGAGAAATACTTGACTTGTATCAGGAGAATCTTGTAGTGATTGGTGGTTTGTCACGTGGTTCCAGCTAGGAGCTGGAAAGTTACATTCGCATTCAACTTAATCAGTGACGCTGTATTCTTTATTTTGTAGATGTGGCCTAGTCAGTGGGTGCACTACATGTCTATCTCTACTACAGTAAGCCGTGTCTTACAGTAAACCCTTGATTTAATAGACTAATGGGGGCGAAGGGCTGTCTGGTAATGCCAGTTGTTTTAATGATGCCAGTGACCATAATTTCCATAAGGAATATCATTAAACACATTAGTACTATGTACTGGACACCTACCATGACAGAAAGTTAATTAAAACACTACATTGTAAGGAGGTAATTAGTGATAAAGAAACCAACAGTCATTACCAGAAATTTTAGATGCGTCACAGCTTGTTTTGTGACAGACATTTGTAAGAAATGTGCTGAATTTTTCCTCAATATTAGGAATCTGTAATTTCAGCAGTTAAATTATTTCTGAACATTTCTGTCTTCTGGGTTGTTGCGCCATTTAGTATGGTAACATCTACCATATTACACGGCACAACGACCCAGAAGACAGAAATCTTCATACTCACCGCTGTGAAGACCTCAGATTATAAATTATTTCTGTCTGTGGTAACCTGGTCATATCGAGTTTCAGGCTGTTTAAATGTATCTTATGCTGACCTGTGACAATGGTAAAACAATTTATGAATGTAAGGAATCTTGGTTTAGAGCCCACACTGAACTATAGTCTCATCTTACCATTGAAGGTACCATATTCTGCTATGTAGTGTCCTCATTTCACATGCACTCCCTTAATCACTGTAGAAGTCGTAATATGAAAAACATGACGCACAGACTTGATTGTTGTGTTGTGCAGCTCGAGAAGAAGGACCTGCTGTTCATTGTTACGGCTCGCTATAACGCGATGATTCTCGAGTGCGTGGGAGAGGGAGACAACTTGGAGATCATCACAAAGGCGCATGGCAATGTGGCAGACCGTATAGGGAAACCCTCAGAAACAGGAATCATTGCAGTGATTGATCCTGAAGCGAGAGTGATTGGCCTGAGACTGTATGATGGACTCTTCAAGATCATCCCTCTGGAGAAGGACAACAGTGAACTGAAAGCCTCCAGCATTCGGTATGCAGCGGCATGAATGTTGCAAGGTCGTTTTTCTTTCATTAAAAAGTATGTGGGCTGATGTCTGAGCAATAGCATTTTGGAGTACTGAAGCATTAGACAGTGTAGGCATTGAAATGCTTGTTGCACTAGTAGTAATAGTTGCCTTCATATCTTGTGACCTTACATGTTATCAAATCTTGCAGCCAAGAGGTTACTCTTAACTTCACACTTGAGAAATCCATGGTTCATACAGGAATGATGATGTCTGTCTACTATACAACTTAAGGACTAGTGGATGAATATTGATAGAATTTTTTATGAACGTTATGCCACTGGAGGCTACCCTAAGGTCATCCTCTTTAATTTTCTATAGTTGATAGATTGATAATGCAGCGTGTGTGTATATGTAGAACTACATGATATGAAAGGGTGCAAAATCTTATGAACATGTTAATGAATCTTTGAGCTACGTAAAGGCAGGGAATTTGTTGACTGCCTATGCTGCTATTAATTTCTCAAGGAGGGTTCTGCGGGTTTCTGTTCTCTGTTGTCGTAGTGCAATGTTGTTCCTAATGTTGCATATTTCTCTGTCACCTCACCAAGGCCTTAACTTGAATGGGTGCTGGGGTTAGTTGTTGCCTCCTAACAAGCTTGCCATTTCTGCAGGATGGAGGAGTTGCAAGTCCAGGACCTGGAATTCCTGCATGGGTGTCCAAACCCAACAATCATCTTGATCCACCAGGACCTGAATGGCCGCCATGTCAAGACACATGAGATCTCGCTTCGAGACAAGGAGTTTGTGAAGGTAGTGTATTATATAGAGGAGGGCCCCACTGTTTCCTGTAGCTTTAAGGTAGGTGTACTAGAGGCAAGTGCATTGCCAGAATACGGGACAAATTCCTAATTTATAGGTGGTAATAAATCCGTATGTCACCTGTAGGATGTCTAAATGTTTAAGTAGAATAATTCACGCTTTTAATGGTCATAACGCTGCAGCTTGCGAGGCTGCCGCATCGGTGTTATATTACTGAGTATGCTTGCTGTGTCGCTTCTGATGCTTTCACTAACCTTCGTCAGCCCAGTGAACCCATTAAAAGACCTTTTCTCCCATGTGGCTACGTTGAATTGTACTTATAATATATTCATTGAATGTTGCCATTTACTCAGGCTGTGAACTTCTGCAAGGGATTGTAAGTCTGGTATGATAAGGGTTAAAATTTACCAGTTTGTGGCACTGAGAGGCTGAGGTTTTGCAATAGAATTCTTTGAGTCTCAGGCACTAAGTGAACACATTTAATCGCACGAATGGGGCTGTAAAACCAGTATGTTTTATGACAGTTCTGATGACATGTTCCAGCTGCTTTGCTCTGTATTGCAGATCCCATGGAAGCAAGACAATGTGGAGACTGAAGCCTCTATGGTAATTCCTGTTCCAGAGCCACTGTGTGGTGCCATAATCATTGGCCAGGAGTCAATCCTGTATCATGACGGTAGCACCTACGTGGCAGTTGCGCCCCCAGTTATCAAGGTGAGTAACACTTGAGACGGCTCGGCTCTGACAGTGTCACGGCGGAATTAGGAGCCCGCTACTAAACCACAGCCTGATTCATTATAATTTCTTCGTCTATGCTGAAATATGTCAAGCAAAAATAAAATCATTTGTTTGTGCATTGCATAGTCCGTACACTGGGCATTCAAACTATTTTATAATGCTATTTGAATTGTTTGTTATGCATGACATTACAGTGACATGAAAACTTGAGGTATATAATATACTCACTCTGTTTTATTCTTATTGTGTGTTTTGTAAAATCTTATTCTGCTTACATGTGCTACCTTTTGCAGCAAAGCACCATCGTGTGCTATGCCCAGGTGGACTCAAACGGTGCACGGTACCTGTTGGGTGACATGGCGGGTCACCTTTTTATGCTACTTCTTGAACAGGAAGAGAAAATGGATGGTACACTCACTGTAAAAGATCTAAAAGTGGAATGTCTGGGTGAGTGTCCCTTATACCACAAGATGCTTTTCTGATGCATGCTCTGGGCTTTTGTGTTTCACTGAATTGTTTTGCAGGTGAGATCAGTGTACCTGAGTGCATCACCTATCTGGACAATGGAGTGCTGTTCATTGGTTCGCGTCTCGGAGACTCGCAGCTCATCAAGCTGAACGTGAAGCAGGATGAGGGTGGCTCGTATGTTAGCACGATGGAGACATTTACCAACCTTGCTCCAATTGTGGACATGGTTGTGGTGGACCTGGAGCGTCAGGGACAGGGGCAGCTTGTCACCTGCTCAGGTTAGACAGATGGACATACCTGGTGTTGAGTTACATGTGCTTGTCTGCTCCTGGTTTCTTTCTGTGTGTCTGGGCCTTTACTATGTCATGCTTGCACATTGACAGGCGCGTACAAGGAAGGTTCTCTCAGGATAATCCGCAACGGAATTGGAATCCAAGAGCATGCGTCCATAGATCTTCCAGGCATCAAGGGGATGTGGGCCCTGCGAGTAGCAACATCAAACAAGTTTGACAACACACTTGTGCTTTCGTTTGTTGGACAGACACGGTGAGCTCCCCATAATGTGTATGTGCATGTCCTTTGCCTCGTCCGTATGGTTTACTCACACTTCTCATCTCGCTGATCGCTGTCGCAGGATCCTCACTTTAAATGGGGAAGAGGTCGAGGAGACCGAGATACCGGGCTTTGTGTCTGATCAGCAGTCATTCTTCTGTGGAAATGTGGACCATGAGCAGATCATCCAAGTGACACCTTCATCTGCACGCCTCATCTCAGTGGACACCAAACAGCTGATCCAGTGAGTGATTTGTCTCTTCTGCTTTTCCAGCATATCCGCATGAAGTAGGTCCGGACCGTGTCTTTTGTTGGGCTCTATGCAACCTCATCAGGTAATCCAATGTTGCAGTGAGTGGAAGCCTCCATCTGAGAAGACAATCAGTGTGGTCGCCTGTAATGTCACCCAGGTGCTATGTGCGGCAGGCAGTGACCTCTACTATCTGGAGATTTGTGAAAAGGAGCTGGTACAGAAAGGGTAAGTATGAATTGAGGAGTTAAAATTTTAAATACTGGAAAAATAATTTGAAAATCAGTTACAATTCGTGTCCACTTTTACCTACGGTAGAACCTCAATATAAAAGCAATTATAAATTTTGTAAAATTGCTTGTTCTAGTGGGTACTTATGATATCCAAAGATGTTAAAATATGTAATATGGTGTGTGTCATGTCTTGTTATTTAGAAATGGAGTCTTTGAACAGAATGAGATGTAATTTTAGTTTCAAAACACTTTGTTGATTGTTATGTGTGTTCAGCCAAGCAACTCTGGAACATGAAGTAGCATGTCTTGATGTCACACCTCTTCAAGACAGCAGTAATAAAGCAGAGATCGTGGCAGTGGGACTGTGGACTGACATATCAGCCCGCATTCTGCACTTGCCTGGGCTTGAAGAGGTGAACAGGGAGTTTCTGGGTGGAGGTAAGGCAAAGCTTTATTATTTACCAACTTTATTTAAGTTGCGTATCTTCAGCTTGCGAATGAAGGAGGTTTAATGAGAGTGAAAGAGATCAGATGGGACAGGGGTGGCAGTGTACCAGCATACAGTTACATATTTTAAATTACAGGTTGCTCCATGAAGATGAATACCCATGATAATGAGGAATATTAACCTTAATCTTGTTATCGATCTCTCGTGCGTTAGGTTTATGAAGGGGGCCTAGTGTGTCATACACTTAACAGATGGCACCGCTTTATCTTTTTGCACAATTGAGACTGATGGATCAGAAGCAGAGGGTCTGCAGAGTAACACCCCCCCACCCCCCCAAGATTGCCACATTTAACCCACCTGACTTTTTCTTGTGGGGTTACTTGAAGGCTGCGGTGTAGAGCACAAAGCCATCAACGCTTCAAGAGCTCTGGCAAGAAATGTAATGGTCCTGCATAGCCACTTGTCAGTCAGTTGCTCACCACTGTTGTCTGTTCCACAAAGCTAGCGGTGATGACGTGCTTTAGATTTGCCAATTCACAAACTGCTTATGCTGACTTATGTAATGGTTTAGTTTACTAAAATGTTTTTATTTAATTTATTCAGTGTGTGTATGCTGCTTCTTGGGACATTCTGTAGATTGAGGTGTTTGAGAACAGGGTGCTGAAGAGAACGTATGGACCCAAGAGGAAGAAAATAACTGCATACTGAGTGTTCTTAGGATGATGAAATCAAAGATAATCAGATGGGCAGATCATATAGCACGCATGGGAGAGAGGAGAAGTGCATTTAGAATCTTCATTGAAGACCTGAGGGGAAGAAACCAGTAGGGAGACAGTTGTAGACGTGAGAAAAAATCAAAAAACACGTCTTAAAGAAATGTTGATTGGGGGGGGGGGGGGGAAAATGGACAGGATTCATGTGGTTGAGGATTGGCCTTGATGGTGGTCCCTTATGAACACAGTAACGAACCTTTGGTTGCATAAAAGACAGGGAATGTCTTGATCATCTGAGTAACTGTTAGCTTTCGAAGGACTGTGCTCCATGCACTCTTCCTGAAGACTGAGTTGGGGACAATTCCGTGTTGTGGTTTTGATCCCTTGTCTTGTGTGTTCTACTGCAGAAATCATCCCCCGCTCAATTCTGATGACCTGTTTTGAAGGAATCAACTATTTGCTGTGTGCACTTGGGGATGGGTCCATGTTCTACTTCTCACTTAATAAACAGTCTGGCTTGCTGACAGATAAGAAGAAGGTGAGTGGCATCCTATGGAACTGTCGTGCCTTCACTTTGTGTAATGGGTTTATAAATCACCGATATGTTTGGTGCTGTGGAAGAGTAAAGGAATATGTCGGTAAATTAAACAGTTGCCTAAGAAAAGGCAGTTCAAAGATCTGAAGGTAAGGTTTCTTATCTCATTATGTATGTCTTCATTCTCACTAAATCTTGATGCCTGTACATGGCAAATGCTGTAGTCTGGCTGGTAGTGCGCCACCAGACCACTAAAATGGAAGAATATAAGATAAATGTTTTCTATGAAGCACAACACAGCAGGCTGTTGTATTATCATTGTTATTAATGTTATTAAAAATTTCATTTATTACGGTGTGATTGTTGAGGGGGAGGGGGTTTGATAATAATGTATTTTCACATGACCTGACTTTTAGAGCAGGATTTTCCACTGATGGTTGGCTGTGAATGTGTTTACATTTCCATCCCAGAATACAGGGTATACACAAAAGAATGGTGGGGTTTCAAAAGTTAATAAAAAAATTATTTCTCACCTTACACGGGCACAACATACACCGTCAGTAGCGGCAACTCTCCAAGTTTCTCATGCGTTAATTACAATCCTTCAATGTGTGCACCCTGGGCCACACGACACACATCCACACAGTAATCAAACTCATCCGATCCAGCTCTGTGGAAAAACACGATTGAGAAGCACTCGTACATTCCTGTGAAAATGGGGGGTAGCTCCGTCCAGTTGTAGAATGTAATCGTCATAATTGGTATTCAGTTGGGGTAACAACCAGCTTTCCAACATGTCCAAAAATGAGTCGCCAGTCACAGTTGCACCATTCTTTTGTGAATACACTGTACAGTGAAGCCCTGATGTAATATGAGAGGATAAGTTCAGAACACTGCCAGTGGCAAAACGTACTGTACGCCAAAACCTGCTTGTTAGCCAGGAACCGAGTGTCGCTTCATCTGCGTCTGCGATCAGAAACATGAGGCATATTAAACACTACTCAGAGGCTTTATGAAGTTTCAGAACAGCAGAATAACTACCAACAACTTGTGCTACACAACAATGGCATATCTTTCTCTGCTGCAGGTGACACTAGGAACACAGCCGACGGTTCTGCGCACGTTCAGATCTCTATCTACTACAAATGTGTTTGCTTGTTCTGATCGTCCAACAGTTATCTACTCTTCTAACCACAAGCTCGTTTTTTCAAATGTGAACCTGAAGGAAGTGAACCACATGTGTTCCCTGAATGCAGAGGCGTACTCAGACAGGTACGTGTTAACGTTCATAGCGTACTTGCTGAAATAACATCGCTATTGCTACTGTGTCTTGGGTGGGTGTTGAGGGGGTGAAATTGTTTCAGTCTGGCACTGGCAACTGACAGCACAGTCACAATTGGGACTATAGATGAGATACAAAAGCTGCACATACGAACAGTTCCGCTCGGCGAGTCTCCTCGAAGAATAGCCTACCAGGAGAGTTCACAGGTATGAGTTCACGAAGCATATGGTATGAAGCAGAAGTGATTAGTTGAAAGAAATACTAGTTTTAAACAGGCCAGTGTGCACAGTACACTGTAACACGTCTATGTTACAGACATTTGGCGTCATCACCATGCGGATAGATATACAGGACTCTGCGGGGCTCAGCCCTGTGCGCCCTAGTGCCAGCACCCAGACACAGAGTACAACCTCATCGTCAGCTATGGGTTCACTGTCTATGGTGAAACCTGGGGCTATGGGTGCCAACACAGCTGCAGAATTTGGGCAGGAGGTTGAGGTTCACAACCTGTTAGTTATAGACCAGCACACATTTGAAGGTGAAACTACACTCATACTCAGAGTTGTAAATGTGTAAAGTACTGCTCATCTATGCACACGGAATACAGCACCTTTAAAATCAAATTAAAATCTGATCTAATTGTTTAGAATATGAATGGCTGTGCCGTATATATATATATATATATTTATTCATTCAGAAAAGGTGCATGTTATATATATGGTGGTTTCCAAATTTTGTGAGACAGTATTTATAAGCACTGACATGTTTGTGACGCAGTTTTGCGTTGTTTCCTTTTAAAGTACTCCCCAGGAATTCTGCCATCATTGGAAGCATGGTAAATCAGTTTATAATAATCATTATGTATTTGCTGTGAATTTTGTTGACTCTTTTAAACATCATTGAGTCTTTTTACTTTGAGCATCTGCTTTATGTTTGGAAACAGAAAAGTCACAGGGAACAAGATCCAGAGATTAAGGGTGGTGGGGGACTGCGTCCATTTTGTTCTTCACTGTGAACCATTGGGCAGGCAGGGCAGCGTGAGCCACGTAGAATGGCATACTCTGCATGAAACTGTTCTCTGTTCTCATCTAGTTAGAAAAAAGTTGTTCCGGTTTGTGATCGCAGAGAAAGACTAAACTGAATGCTGTTCACAGTGTTGCATGCCCACCAGTTCATGCAGTGTGAGTACGCTCTGAGCTTAGTGTCCACAAAGCTTGGGGATGATACCAATACGTATTACATCGTTGGCACAGCATTAGTAAACCCAGAAGAGAGTGAGCCAAAACAGGGGCGGATCCTCATGTTCCAATATCAAGATGGCAAGTTGCACCAGGTAGCTGAGAAGGAGATTAAAGGGGCTTGCTACTCCCTCGTAGAATTCAATGGCAGACTGCTAGCCAGCATCAACAGTACGGTGAGGCTCCTTGATTCTCTTCCATCTCCTACATATTTCATGTACTTGTAGTACAGTCAATCTCTTGGTTAACACATCATCATCATCATCATCATCATTTAAGTTTTTTGTTTCCTTTTTCCAGAGTCCTTGAAGGTGTTGTTTACATGTATTATTTTAACACATTCATAACTGCTGTAATCTTTTCATCTCTGTCTCCTTTAACCATCTGTAGACTACCATTTGCTCTTATTTGAGTATGAATCTGTTTTCTACATCACTTTGCAATTGTGGACTCTGAGAAGGACAGCCAATGTGGCTACAGCAAAGCACTGTCAGGCCCAATGAAGTATCTTGGAACAGAAAGAGAAAACCTTTGATGAACTAAGTACGAACTTATAATCACATATAAACAGTGCATATTGTATCATCGGTCCTGATAGACATGCTGCTGTTGGTAATATTGTGAATGTTTGCCTGGCAGGTGCGACTGTTTGAGTGGACAGCAGAGAAGGAGCTGAGGCTGGAATGCAGCCATTTTAATAATATCATTGCACTGTACCTGAAAACAAAGGGAGACTTTATCCTGGTTGGGGATCTCATGCGGTCCATGACCCTCCTTCAGTACAAGACGATGGAAGGCAGTTTTGAGGAAGTGAGTAAGGGAGATGAAATGAGTGAGAGAAAGTGTATATCCCAGGATGTTGTAGAAACCAAAATACATGTGTATTTGGCACCTTAAATAAGTGAGTTGCTTAACTAGTGATTGGTTGTGCAGATGGCAAGAGATTATAACCCCAACTGGATGACAGCGGTGGAAATCCTGGATGACGATACATTCCTTGGAGCTGAAAATTCATTCAACTTGTTCGTCTGTCAGAAGGACAGGTACTGCAATGCCATCATGTATTATGAATCTGCTTTTTATCTTGAGAACAACTACAGGAACACTGACATGTGGTGTTTTGTGCTTAGTGCTGCCACTACAGATGAGGAGCGCCAGCAGATGCAGGAAGTGGGCCAGTTCCACCTGGGGGACATGGTGAATGTCTTCAGGCATGGGTCTCTTGTGATGCAGCATGTAGGGGAGTCATCCACACCGACGCAGGGCTGCGTATTGTTTGGGACCGTCAGTGGTGCCATTGGTTTGTTCTTGTTGACTTCCGTATTTCTTGGTGTTTTGTCCCCTGCCCTCTTTTTTGTAACAGAACGGTAAGGCATTGTAGTTCTTGTGAGACATAGTTTGGAAGACGTGTATATGCATGGAATTTGTTGGAGTACTCTTAGATGGGAAGACAATATTAAATATTTTCAGAAACAGGAAGGGAAAAATGCTGGATTGAGCTGGCTCATGATGGTTAGAGTTTGTGAGCATAGTGATGAAGGTCTCTCTGGTTTTGAAGTAACAGAACTTATTGGTCACATTAATAATCTTGCTTCTTCAGGCTTGGTGACTCAGATTCCTGCAGACTTTTATGATTTCTTGCGTGAACTGGAGGAAAAGCTGACACATGTCATAAAGTCAGTCGGCAAGATCGAGCACTCGTTCTGGAGGAGTTTCAACACGGACATCAAGACAGAGCCATGTGAGGGCTTTATTGATGGGGACTTGGTAGAAAGCTTCTTGGATCTGTCTCACAACAAGATGAAAGAGGTGTCACTAGGCTTGCAGGTGAGGAGATAAACTAAAAGTGATTGTGTGCAGAATATTATTCCACTTCTTGTTTAAAGCTTTCATGGTAATTTACTGCCAATGTGGATCCTGTTTCTGGGCGAGAGAGCCTTGTAAATACAGGCTGTATTGTCGATTTTTCCAAGATGTGGTCCATTTTATTTGTTCAGTGATGTATAATGCAAAGTGAGAGAAGAATGTAAGTTTACAATGCCAGCCTCTTTTGAAGGAAGGGGGCTCAGTTTGTTGATGTCTGTAATAGTGGGAAGCATGAATAGGGAAAAGATAGGGCAAGAGAGAGGTGTGCTAGATGCTTATGCACTGGAGGACGGCTTGTAGGTATTGCAGCTGAGCTGATAACCTTTCCTTCTGAAGTTCTGATGTAGTTTGTTGGCATATTGAGGTTTCTTTCACAGACACTAGTTCATTTTTGAAGTGAGTGTGATAGATTGATAATGTGTTTGACCCATTACCAAACAATTCTGGGTGATTAAGCTGGAGTCTGTGTAAGACTTGAGGTTCTCACAGTGGTGAGTATGAAGATTTCCGTCTTATGGGTTGTTGCGCTGTGTAGTCTGGTCGATGTTAACCAACGTTTCAGAGGTCATACTGCGTAATATTCATCGTCCTGATGACGGAGGCAGTATGACCTCTGAAACGTTGGTTAATATCGACCAGACTACACAGCGCAACAACCCAGAAGACAGAAATCTTCAAGCTGGAGTCTCTTCGGTGCTTCTCTGTATGATCCTGTATTGTGCAACCCATTTATGCAATGTGGTTGTCAATGGAGCACAAAAGATGTCTGCAGCTACTATCAGTCTGCTCCATCCCAATAATTTCAAAAAAGATGATTATTAGCCTGACAGCCTGTTAATGCCTACAGTGATTCATGAAGGTATTGGTATGAAACTACCTCAGAATCCATCTTCCTTTTCTACTCCTGCTTCTCCTTTCGTGTAAATATTCCTTAATCTGCAGTAGCCGTTGATTAGTCACTTCAGTGTAAGGTGGAGACATAATGTTCTCTGAAAGGTTGACAGTACAGTCTACTTGGTACCATCGCACGGAAACGGCATCCACATAAATGTGTCCTTAATTGATTGTGATATTAACTGTTTGGTAGCCCTATTTTTCCTGTATGTAGAATTTAAATTGTAGCAGTACTGTTTGACAATTAAATTGGGCAGGTTACAGTGGGCTGCAAATATAGCTTGTGAAGGAAAAATAAGAAATTATGCAGAATTTTTGGTGACCACGTGGAAGATTGATATGGCAGTATAATATTAAAAGTAATTTTAAATAAATAGGTAGTAAGGCTATGATTTATGTTGAACTGGCATGGGTTCTGCTCTAGCTAGGGGCATTGATATTTATCAGAAAGTGTGTATCCAGTGTCTTCCTGCGAATTTCAGGTCGACAGTGGGAGTGGAATGAAGCAAGAGGCCACTGTGGATGACCTTGTCAAGATTGTTGAAGACCTCACAAGGATACACTGATTACTGAAGTGTCTTTGACAGATGGTAAGTGTTTTGAGTCGGTCCTTTGAGATATGTTCGTCAAAACCCCCATGGTACAAAGAAGAGGGAAGGAAGTTTCTCTTCTTCATAAATGAATCTCATTAGTCAGATTAAGGCACTTCTGAGTTTGTTGTGGATGGGAATGTGTATGAACTCCTACCCTACATCAGCGTAACATTGTGGGACTGTAAACATTACTTCGGTACAGGTTCATTCATTGCCAGTCTTGCTGGTGCAGCTACAGGAAGACAGTGATGCATTTCATGCAGTAGATGGAATCTCTGGCATTTGATGCAAATTTAAACTAGAAACATTAATCAAATTAACAAGATTGAAGAACTGCAGGCACAGAGAACGGTATGTTATATATTTATAGTATTCCATCCTGGGGCTAGGGAAGGATCGGGTACAAGGAATTGGACAAACTCACTGGACCTTGTTCTACTGGTGACATGACATTTAGTATTTCTGTCTGTGTGTGGTAGTATCAGCCTTGAAGTAGAATGGTGGCTTTCCAACAGAAAAAGTTTGTTTTTGTTTATGTTTGAGTGGCTTTATCACATCACAAACATGAGGAAGTGTGTAAAGAAATATCAGCTTTATTTGTAAATAAAGAGAAGTGTGCCCATTTCTGTATTTTTGCATACCTGCCTACAGTTTGTCCAAAATTAAAATTAATGTTTGTTTTAATCTCTGTACAGCTGGAAATATTAAGAAATGTGGCATTTTTCCAAAATGTGTGTAGCGTAATTTATTTTGTGGCAGACTGCAGGACTTGGAACCTACATTGTCTTACACAAGACAAAGTTCAAGTTTCAGGGTCCTCTCAAAGTAGTACTTGCCTGCGTTATCCTATCCATCCCAATAATTTGCGTGGCCTTATTTTAGGAAGATGTATTCAGAACTTGATTGTCTTGTATGGTGAGAAAGGAAAGAGTTTATCTGAGTAAGAAATGGGAAAAACACTAAATATATATGAACTATGAAACAAAACTTTCACCACATGTGATAGAAGCTTCTAAGTAACCAACTTTTCTGGAAGGTAAAGTGTTGGTGCATTATTACAAGTGATGTGCAATGTGATGATGAGAATAGCACATTATATTTTATAATCAATCGTACATACATTACAATTTCAAAATTGTATTTATTGCATTTGCACTACATTTCTGCCAGATTTGCATCAGTCATATTTCTTAATGTACCAGTCCAGCCTGCTGATATGTTTCATGCAGCCTTCAGTCTTCTTAATGCTACCAGATGGCCTATTGTGACTGTTGTTCAGGCTGTCATACCAAATAATCAGCGTGAACCTTACACGTGTCGGGTCGAGTCACTTGTTAAGAGTTTGCAGTAGCTGTGCTCCTGTCTTGTAGCCACTTGAGCACCTTGTCTATGCCCTCTCCTGTCATAGCACTGGCCTCCACTACTGCAGTGTCTTGTAGGATTTCCTTCTTCAGCCGCACCAACTGGAGCATCAGCAGCGCCTCATTCCTCATCTGACGGTATGAAGCATCCATCTTGGACAGCACCAGAAGGATCTGGAGAGGTAGCAGGTTCTGCATTATCTGAATTACTCATGACTCCTTTTGTTTAGAAGACATCATGGGGATGTTATATTAAAACTTTATATACATTTTTATTTTAATGAATGATTTGTGATAATTTTAAGGAAAGATGCCTTCATGTGTTATGTCATAAAAACAAAAGTGCAGTTGTGTTTACGTATTCATTCTTGATTTTCATACATTATTGGCATGAAGAAGTTTATTGCTGATATTCTGGCATGTAGCAGGACAAGATTTTTCTTAATATCATATCTTGGGTTTCATAGATGTGTAAGATGTCCGTCTGGATTGACCTCAACAGTCTTTGCCTTGTGTTTGCTATATTTCATTGCAATTCAAGTAGTATAACATATTTTAAGTCATCAGTGAATGTAATGGCTCACATTTTCCTTTCATTATCTTTTCAATAAACCTTCCATTGTCAATAGCAGTTACTATTAATTTTCTTCCATTAGAGTATCATACTCCTATAATCTTGACTGCATTTTAGGATGTATTTGTGCCAACAACAAAGGGAAGAAAATGTCAGTAAACAGTTTCATTAAGTGAAATGCAAATCTGTTGCTGGAGAGCAACACAAAATTATTTTATGAAGTTCTGCGTTTTGGTGCCGTGTAGACTCGTTGGCTATCATTGTCACTGCCATGAAAATCTCAGATCTCTCAGAAATTCTTTGCCCTTGTAGTTTGTTCACTGCACTGAAATTTTTCAAGTAAAATTCGTTAATTTTAGGCTCATCTACATTTTATATAATGTAAAAATGATCTCGCTGAAAAATTAATAAAGCTCAGCTTGTGCTTCAAGTAAAGTAGGGATTGTATTTGGCCAATTCACTGTTCATATGGATACACCCAATACCTAGTTTCAACTATCAAATAGTTTGAGGAATGTAATATGTAGGAAGGCAATCTTCCCATCATGTGTCCACATTACAGGTTTTTTCCCCAAAGAATGCATACACATCTTTAATAATTCAGTATTCTGAACAAAGGATGCACAAACATTTCTAATAACTTGTTTCATTGTAGGATTGTAAGTAACTCCAGTACTGCCATTGATAATGTTTTTATAGTCGTGTAAGATTTGAGGTTTTCACATCGGTGAGTATGAAGATTTCTGTCTTCTGGGTTGTTGTGCTGTGTAGTCTGGTCTTCGCCCTGATGACGGAGGCAGTATGACCTCTGAAACGTTAGTTAACATCGACCAGTCTACACAGCGCAACAACCCAGAAGACAGAAATCTTTTTATAGTCAGTTCCAGGAAAGATCATATTTCTATTGAAACGGTGACAAATGGGCTCTCTGACGATGCTAACTTACAATTATAAAAAATATATATAATTGATCTCTAATTATCGTAATTACAGGAAATGATTCAGACTTATAAATAATGATACTATTAAAGAATTTATAATAAATAATGAAAACTGGGAGTTGGTATTAAACAGGTGTGTAGATTCAAAATTTAACACATTCCTAAATATCTTACTAAGAAAGTTTGAAGCGAGTTTCCCCATCAAAATAGAGAAAAAGGTGTATGAAAATAAAGAATGAATTACTAAAGGTATCAAAACATCTTGTAAACGTAAACAAGATCTTTACCTAATTGCCGATCTAGTAACAACCAAATAATGGAAAGTCACAACAGTAAATATTGCAAGACTCAAGTCATTAAAGAGGTTAAATATATTACGAATCAGATAAAAAAGTAAAAGCAGTATGGAAAATTGTGAAAAATGAGACAGGTAAATATTCTACAGAAGAAGTGGCCCCATCAATAAAGATAGAGGATAATATAATAGAGAATCATAAACTCATAGCAAATTCTTTTAAAACTTTTCAACAATTATAGAAAGAATTTGGCAATGGCACTACAACCATAACAACAGAAGATGCAACAAAGTACCTTGCTGAAGCAATTCCTAAAAGCTTTCCAAATTTAAGTCTTATACCCACAACATTGCATGGCAACTCAGAAGACAGCTGTCTGTGTATTCACATAAGTAGATTACTCTCTTCATGTTATGAATATGTAAAGCATAATGTATATGAGGACTTTCCAGTGTTACAGGATGTAATTACAGAAAATTGTTCTATACCTTTGCCTTTTGGAGACAGGGCTCGGCAAGAATTGTATACAGCAAGACTCCTGCAGCAGAAATTTGGCAGAGGTTGCTTGCATCTACTACATACATAATACTTTCTATTCCATAATAGTAATTTCGCCATATTGGAGACATTGCCCCTCCTATTTCCCTAATAGTAATTTCTTTTCGGTTCCCAAGTGGAACTGCAACGAGGTTTGTGCCAATTGTTGGCACAGTACTAGACATTGTGTCAACTGCTTCCCAGTTCTGTAACTTTTTTAGAAGCAGAGTCTTTCCTGACCCCTTGGGTCCCAGGCACAGGCACATTGTATTCACAGTTAGTTTGCAGCTAACTCTCCGTAATGAAGTGTTTCGTAAAGTTGTCATGACAATGTGATCGATCTGTATGAAAGTCCTGTGCCTACAGTTGAAAAAATGAATGCATAATTGCGTCGTTGAGAAAACGACTAAGCTCTTGCCAATATTACCTAACGTTCTAGTAATTTGTGTTGCATGTTCAGGCAAACGTATATGAAGCCTACGAATTCCGTGCACTAAATGTTAACTATCATACGATGACCGTAGGCTCGAATTTTCTGTGTGAATGGTTTGGCAAGAAATTACTTAACTGTGGAAAATAACGGTGTGTTAATGCCATTTGAAATACGTATTGTTACAGGTAATCTGAAGTAGCGTTTGTAATAGTGTGTCTTTTCGTTTGTATCCTTTTTGCTACTTCGATCGTATAAGTCTTCAAATGGGGGCACAAACTGCACATGTAACAATTTATATGTAGGATTGGAGCATATTTTATTTCATTCTTAAAGTTCAAAAATAAAATCTCTGAACGCACAACATTTCCTCTAAGCACTTTTATCTGTAATCTTGCATGAGTATTGAGTATAGTATAAATCACATGACAGGTGACGTGGAGAAAGGTATTCGCTGGAAACATGCGTCGTAGGGCCTTTTACGAATTATCATTGGAAGTCAGAAACAAACTGTACAACGAAAATTGGTTTTCTGGATCAGTTCATAGGATTGAATTTCTAGCGGGTAAACGACTTATTGTTTAGCCATATGTGTGCGAAATTTAGAAACTTTGTAGGTTATATACACCCCGTTTTAAACCGTTACAAAATAATTAATGAAATGTAATTTTCAAAGAATCACTGCATAGAATGTTGGTTTAGAATAACAGTTCTATGTATGCTTGATATTGTATGAGTAGTATTTACATTTTGAAAATTTTGATCTATAAATATAACCAAATGTTGTGTAAGGTACTCCTTGTTTCAGGCATGATACATGCATGTGCAGAACTTATGTGTACTTCATAGTTCAGTCATGAAGAGATAAAGGGATGTGACACCTTTCATTGGCTTATTTAATTACATATATTAATTGAAATTATGTGGTTTGTTTTAGATTTTGAAACAATAAAACAGATGTAATAGAATTCCATTGTGTTGACTGAAAACTGGTTTTAATAGCAGTGTATACTCTGACTGTTTTCTAAATGTGTCTATTTACTTGCATCTCTAACTGTATACATGTGATGGTATGCTGTATTTTCCATGAAGACTGGGTTCTCCATCATTATGTTTGTTGTCTGTAACAGTTGTTGTGTTGTAGGGATGGAACAACCCTAAGGCAGACAAGCTAACATGTTCAACGTGATCCCCCCGATGGTGCCATCATCACCTCCTCCCATGGATGATGCCATGGAGGAAGATGAGGACGATGAATTTGGAGATTTTGCAGCAGCCAATGACTTGTACAGCACAACAGGTGGTGATTATGACATAGATTCTTAAATGTTTCAAGTGTGAAATCTAGAATTTTTAACCCATTAGTACAGGGTTTTATACTTGGCAGTTGCGGAACACTTTACCATGTTCAAATGAACCTACCATCAGCCTCAATCTTGAGTACTTGAATACAGTCTGCTGCATATTTCTTTAAGGTGTGTCTTCTATAATTAGGTGCTGCAGTGTGTCTGCTCCCTTTCATGTTTTCACGTTAAATACCTTGTATGTGTTTCTTAAGACTTGCATGCATGCTACATGTTCCACACATCTCACTCTTTATGATTCCATGACCCTTATAAGGTTTGGGAGGAGAACAAATTATGCTAGTCCTCATTACACAGTTTTTCCAGCCTCTCGTTAGGTTTAGATATATAATCAATCTGGTATGAGATGAAGTGTCACACCCTGACACAAAGTAATGGTTAAAATCATAGGTTTTTTGATAAGGGGTAAGAAGATGTACAGTTCTAAAGCATTTGGCAGTGATTTTATCTGCTTTTAACTTATGCATGGAATTGAATTAATTTTTAATTTGCCAATGTTATTCCCTGATACTTTCTACTTTTACAGATTTTCCAAACATTGTAATCTTGTCCTGCAGTTCGTTGATAAGGCATGGGTGCACTCATACAGCTTTCTGTGTAGACCAACCTCCATTTTGATGTCAAATATGGAGAGTTGAGACCAGGTGTTGGTGGAGCATTCTTAAGATAAAGAAAAGTTCAGTGAGAGAGACTGGTTGGGTGACCTAGGTCATACATGGGGGAATAATATGAGAATTGATCTTACAGAAGTAGGTTGTGAAATTGTAGTCTGCCTGAACTGGTCGAATGGTGAGCTTCTGTGAACATGGTGATGAACTTGAAATGTCAACTCCTGAAGGGATGCTCTGTACCTTTGGATGAGAACTGTAATTAAAACAAATGACTTAGTGAAAGCTCAAACACTCTGTATTTGAGATAAAAGTTTTGGAACCGAGGCATTATGCTGTATCATGTTCACACAAAGCATCCAAATTTTTACAGACGAGGTTCATGACCGACCACTGTGAAAACTTGGTTTAGTTGAGGTTTTGATTTGTTTCAGATGCCCCTCAGACTCCAGTCAAGTCACCAACCGTCAAAAGCACGTTCTTTGACGAGCGCGTGAAGGACGACGCCGTTTGCTGTGAAGAGACTGGTCACCTCAGAAACCTCGAGCTGGATGTGGATGGAGGCAGGGGGCAGAACTCCATTACATCAGGACCCACTGACTCAGGACACTGCGATGCTGCACCCTGTCTTGTGGGGTCAGAACTGAGTGGTGATCAAGAACAGTCTGGTGGGAGCATGGGGGCATTTGACAAGGAGGAGTCAAACATAGCGTTTGGCTCGACAGACTGCGAGGTTACAGAAGCATTTCAGACAGATTGCAAGCTCTCTGACATTTCTGTCTGTGTGGCTCAGGAAATAAGTGACGTGGAAGATATTGAGAGTGAGGAGTTTGCTGTGTTTGACAGTCCTCTGATGTGTGGACCAACGGATAACTGGGCTGCTGCAACTCATTCTGTACCTGATGTGATTGATAAAGATGATGATTTTGATGACTTTGAAACTGCAGACTCCCATTGTGCTCCTATGACTTGTGTTGGCTTGGATGATGGCAAAGTGAGTTCAAGTTCAGGCACTTTAAGAAATTTTCTGTTACAGATTTCCAACCTGGTATGAGTTCTGTATCTGTCACGTTCATGCAGAAACTTTAATGACAGTTTTTTTTCAATACCTCTTATTAAATCATGTTTCTGGTATAAGAGATTCTGTAAATTTGTTATAATTTTTATTCCAGGCAACGTGAACATCAACATGTCATCACATAATTTCAAAGCTGTTAACTCGGAATTCTGTGGACTCAGGTTAAGTGTATGTGTTTTAACACGATTAAGTCACAAGTAGATGTCGTGGTTTTTAAGTGATTGTTTTGTTATGTTTCAGTTAACAGAGAAACTGCAGATGCTTATCAGCGTACTGTTCCCACTCACCAGTGACATCGGCTTCATAGACGTGGATGTACCGTCCTTGGCCGAGAGACTGGCCGCGGTGTGGGTGAAGCTACAAGACATGGAGAGCAGCCACGCACTGTCGTACCAGTGGTCTGGATCGGCTGCCAACAAGGGCCTCTTAGTGGCTCTCGGTATAGACTCGCGCAACATTGTGAGTCATTTCAAATACTGTTGGCATCATTTGACAACAACCGTTGCTTCTGTTGCCTAATTTTGTTCCACGTTTGTGTATTATGATTGCTAGATCAATTGCTGGCTTAATATGAAGTGGATTAAACTGAACAGTCCTAACTTTCTGCTGTTCTGAACTCTTGTAAAGTACAAAACATGAGAGAACTGCAGACTTGCAACTGCGTTACAGAATCAGAGGAGCGACAAGAGGCATTAGATTCTGAGTCGCCATGTTACAGTTTCTGTAAGCATCTCTTGCCTGAATCTTCTAGATCCTGTTTACTTCTGTAACGCTTCAAGACTCTCCGAATCAGAGTGTGTGCAGTTTCAGATAAACTTGGGGCCCTACTGTTAACAGTGTAACAAGGTCTTCATGCTGTTCCAGCTGTTTGGTCCGCGGTGGAATACTTCAGTGCCACGATTTGCAGCAAACCTTGGCTTCAGTCCCCTGGAGCCTGTGCAGGCTAGTCATCGCTCTCCCACACCAATGGAACCATCCGGAGAATTGCCTTCAGAGGTTATACGATTTCTTGCTCGCATTAACTTGTCCTGTTCCTGCTTATTTCTTTTATCAAAACGCATTTGGCACTAAGCGTCTTTTCAAACTGTAAACAGTTTTTGTTTGTATGCATGACTTTATATACCAATACGCTGCACGGCATGCAAGGTTTTAAGGTCATGGTAAGTCGTTCTGTTGCAGGAAGCAGTGGTGCCAGCTGCTCAGTTTGACTGGATTAACAGTGGACTTGTAAACCCTCTGGACTGTAAGTATTTTTTTGTATTTCCAGTGTGTTTCCTGCTGCGCTTTGGAAGTCCTAACGATATTCCCATCTTGGATATATTGTGTTCGACAAGTCATTTAGGTGCATGGAGCTTTGTAGCTAAACCCCCTGCACACCTTTCGTGCCATAATGCTGAAATTTGAATCCATGTGTGGGGTTAGCTGAGATGTACATTTAACATATTGAAATTCTGATTGCATGTAACACCAAGAACAAGTTACATTTAGTTTGAAATGAAAGTGTTTGCTGGTTATGGAAGTGGGAACCTCACATCTGTGTCTGCAGTTACAAATGAAGGGTTTGGGGTGGGGTTGCACAGGACAGTTCCCATGTTTGAAATGTGCACCGAGAAAACTGGTTCTCACCAAGCTGCCTATCTGAACTGACTGCTGGCCTCAGACGTGGTGTAATGTGTCCTTGCTGTGCATTTTGTACACAAGAAATGGATGTGAAGTGAAAAATATTTTGTTTAGCTATAAGCCTGTTTAATTAGAATCTTAATTTCTAATTATATTCTGTAGTTGGTTAACAGGGTAGAATGTGCATTCTTTCACACTTTAAAATGTAAAAGATAGCTTTGCATGTGTATGGGGGAGATGAGGAATGCATACAAAATTTTGTTTGAGAGGCCTGAAGGAAGGAGACCACACAGATAGGAGGAGGATATTAAAAAGGATATGAGAGAAGTAAAGTGGAAGGGAGTGAATTGGGTTCATTTGGCTCAGTATAAGGATTGGTGGCCAGGTTTCATAAAATGTGGGGAATTTCTTGACTGGCTGAGTGACCATCAGCTTCTCAAGGACTCTGCTCCTTGGAGTTAGTTCGGTCGTTAGATAATTTATCTTAACATGTTATATACATTTTGTGATGTAATACGTGCTCCATCACATAGGATGCACCAGTATGATGAAAAGGACGTTTGATGTACAGGTCTTAGAAGGAATGGTAATCATTAATTACATAATTTATTTTTGCAAAGTATATCTATATTCAGCACTTAATTTCTTGACAGTCCTAATACTTTCAAAAACCGAACTTTTAAATTTTTAGCGTTCATAAAGTTGGGGCACTTGCTCTCTCTCTCTCTCTTGTTTGTTTGGGCATATCACAACTCTCCCTATGTCTAGCTTGAGTCTCGAGACTGATTTGGGTGTCTCCTGAATGGTCATAAATGTTAACATTTCTTTGCATTGATGGGTAGTGTATTCATGTGTCCCAAGTCTGAATGGGAAGAGGCCTCATGCAGATTACAACAGTTCTACTGTCTGCTGTAAATAAACTTGCACTGTTGGATGAAATATTTTAGCCCTGAGCAGAGGAGGTATTAAGTTTTACTGTGGCTTGGTGCATGTTATATGAGACAATGTTGGTGGCTGTCATGTTTCAGAGTTCTACACAGAGATTTGAGTAAGTCTGTAGAGAGATAAACTGAGAACCCATAGGACCCCTATGGGAGTCTGCGTAAAATGTCAAGGTCACCTGCAACATATTAAATATCCGTATAACTAACTAACACATTACAGTGCCGGATCCTCACGAAATATAGGTTCCGTGGGGGGACATGACATTTCAGATACTGCAGCAGTTTTGAGAGGGAAATATTGCCCAAAATTTGTGTAAAACAGCCAGTTCAGAACTTTTTTTTGCCACCCCTTGAAACACAAATACATGAAGGTATACTTTGTTTTCCAGAAAGAATGTATAATTCTTTCTGGCTTTCTGCTAGATAGTTATTGTCATGTTTTAAGCAAAGATGGCATAAGAACCATAATATCTAAAAAAAATCTGTACTTTGTTGCATGTTTGAAATGAGTTACACATTTCTACTAATTCTGTTCTGAAAAGCGGCAGGTTTCCGCAAAGAAATGAAATGTGTTTCATGATGTATAAGTGAACCGTAATATTTATGCGAATTGTTGAATTTTGGAATACTCTGCCTTTCAGTACACATGGTATAAACTTATGTTTCAGACAAAATGTCATTTTGCAATTTCATTTGAGACATGATAAAAAAAGACATCATGAAGTAGTGAATTAAGTAAAATTTTGGCAAACAGCTGTTTTATGTCAAATTTGAGCACTTCTTTGCTCCTAATAAATTGCAGTACATGAAATGTTATGCCACGAGTGGCACCTGAAATCCTTGGTATTTAAAATACTACAATAGAGTTCACCTTATAGTTGTAGGTATATAGTTTTTAAAAAGTGACATAGCAGACGTTGATGCCATTTTCAGTCCCCAGCAGGGCCGTTGTTGTGTTGTCAGCTTAACAGATGTAAGATTACACAGATAATTATTTGAATGGAGACTCTTGTGAAAATTTCCCAAACTCTTTTTAAGATGACAGCCATCAGTGGATTCAGCCCTGTGATAGGTCACTGGTGTGGTGACTAATTGTGTGTTGTTTGTTCTTTCTCCCCACCCCAACCCCTTACTCTTCCTTTGTTGGAAGGCGCCACCTCGGCACTTCTCGACCTTGACTATCTCAACACATTTGATAACTTTACTTCCTCCTCCTTCTCCCCCTCTGCATCCAACATGGCTACCAGCACCTGGAGCATCTCCATCAGTAAGTACAACCATCGAGCTAGCACATAGTGGTCATTGTCAGTACTAGACAGTTTGTTGGTTACCCAGAGGTCTAAGGTACTAAAGTGTGGAAGGATTTTAAGGCACTGTGTAGAGACCGAGAAAAACGTTGAAAATTCTTAGTCCATGGTGGGGAGTGAGGTGCATTTACCTCTGTGCCGAGTAGCCCGTGGTGAAACAGTCGCCCTTCACCATATCTGTTTTCTGTATGGGTATGAAACATGGTCCACTCATTCAACTGAAGAACATAGGTGAATATTTTGGCCCAGGTTGAGCAATCTCTGACTTCGTATCTCACTTATTACTGTTAGGTTAGGTGAAATGAAAGAAGTTGCTGTGCACTGGACATTCTAAGTTCATTATAGCACTGGCTCAGAACGCTAAAGTTGTCGGTTTTCTTGCAGCACCTGAGGCATCCACAAGCAACTTGCAGATCTTGGCATCTAGCTACTCCGCCCCAGTACCTATGCTGAGTCCGGAGTCTGTGAGGGTGTTAGATGGACTGCCAGACCTCTCCTTCATGCAGGCAAAGCTCCTTATGTTCCCAGTGAGAGGCACCTCACCTTGATAGCACACAGGATGGATTCTTTTGTTTCATCGTGCTTAGCCGTCTGCCTACTTGTGCCATTTTAATAAGAAGAGAATCACTACCTTTTTAAGTGTCAGAAAAGTGTTGGGGCCATTCAGGTTAGTTGAAACAAACATGTTTTAATTACGCTGACTCTCTTCCTGTGGAACCCTGTGTTAGTCAAATATATTGCAGGTTTGCCCCTCAGTAAGCTCTTTGGTTACATGAGATTGCAATTGCTCGACTCTGAAGCTGTCCAGTTGTGATGGTTATCTTCTCCTGTGTGGGTCATTTCTCAAAGAAGTGATGAGAGAACATTAAAATGCTTTTCAGCTGAATTGGCGGCTGGAGCGTGCACCAATCACGTGTACTGTGCCTTGGTAGGAAGTAAAGGAGGGAGGCGGAGGGGCGAGAAGGTGAGGAGACAATATACCGTGGTGCAAGATGTAGCATTGGTGTCCAGTGAATGGTTATAACACTAATCAAAGTACACGTAAGAACTGGCAACAACGCGGTGCGGCTGCCGATGCTTCTACCACGGGGTTTCTGAACAGACTGAGTCTATCTGCTTACCAGCAGACCTCCTTTGTGCTGAGCAGAACTTGACTCGGCTGCCAGTTCCGCTGAAGAACATAATAGTATCAGCCAAAATGTGTTTCATGAGCAATAGTAAGTCGCGCCCCTTTGACCATAAAAGTAATGAAGAACTGACGGTTTATAGAATACTACAAATTTAAAAAATATCTGTTGGGAGGGGAGAGATGCATATGATGATGGGAATACTTGTAGCAGGACAACATTATTGTGTGTAGTCTCCATGTTATAACATGCAGGTGTATTTTTTTCTTGCCCAAGTAAGTAATATAACTGCAAAAGCTTGTGCACTATGCAAATAAAAAATATGGCTTTAAAATTAGGATTTCATGTGGAGAAACGAAGAATAATTGCAGTAATGGGAAGAAGCATATATTGATGATAATGAAAGTTATGCCATTGAAAATATTAACATTTAAGCGGCTCCAGGAATAATGAAGTAGGCTTCTTAAGATTTGAAAGTGAGTCTCAACATACAGAAGTGGTGCCTGGAAACAGATGAAGGAAGATTAATGTGGAAGGACCGCAGAATGAGAGAAATTACGGATCTATGCTGAAACTGTATGGAAGAGGGCTACACTGTATTATCGGTGATTCTGTAGGGCAGTGACAGTGTGACTTGACATGGCTTTTGTTTGAAGGATTCGTGGGTCTGCATAGCAAGACTTATATATTGAGAATGTGGAGCCATAGGTTCAACTCCCAGTCACTCGAAGTAGCAGTCTGCCAAGGAACCGCATCTATGCAGAACTTGAGGGTGAGTTTCTAAAGTGTAGTGCTAGTGACTCTCCTGTACTCAGTATTACACAGTGTAAAATAATGTAAAGGCTAGTTGGTTATTTGTAAATAAACTTTGTTCCCTGTTGTAATGACAGATTGGCCTAGTGATGCATGCAGTCAGGTTCAGTTCTTGTCACTCTTTTACCAGCAACATAGTACAGATTTCCTGTAATCCAACCCCCTTATTTCTATTGACTTCAGTTCCATTTAAAGTTCTTCCTATTTTAATTATATTATTTCCTCAAGAGACCTTACTTGACCTTTATCATGTAGTGATAGGGGTTTAAAGCCCTGTACTACGGAACTGCCAGTCAGTCTTTAACAGGACAGATTCAAGGACAAGTTGCTGGAAGCACAGCTGATAAGGATTAAATGGCAGGTTCATCACGCCCAATTCATGATACTGTTGGTAACACTACTTACGTGATCATAATCTTAATTTTTATAGGATTCAAAAAGTGTATATAATTCTGGAATTTATTCTGAGAATAATCAGTCCACTTGGCATGTTCACAAATGCCAAGACCATTTTTTAAATATCTATCCATGAATGTGTCAAGTGTTTTGTTCCCAGACAGATTACTTTGTTTAATATATTTTCCACCCTTCATGTCCTGTCCAGTAGAGGGGTGTCAGCGTCAGTTGGTCTGTAGCTTTAGCATTGTTTAAATCGGTGCATCATCTGCTATAAGCAAACTAAAAACATTGCCCTACTCGGTGTTATGTCAGACAAGGCAGGGGATGGCATAAAAATCCATTTAAAAAGTGTTGGCTCGAGGGTGATCGCTGCCATTGGCATTTCCAAGCAGACTCTTGCAAGAATTATCAAAGAGGGAAAGGAAGTTGATAAATGCACGTCAGATTAATTTTCAACACCGGGGAAATCATGTCCAAAAAAGAAGAATGTCGCAGTTGTAGATGCATTCGATGGGGGGAAGTCATCAGAAGATTAATTCATCATTTTCACATGACAAAAACCAGCGACCTAATTCAAATACTCTACTTCCTTTCATATAAATTATTTTGAATATAACCATTCTCTTATTTATAAAATCAAATCAGTTTGACCATGTTCCAGTTCTGTAGTGTACTTTCTTATTTACAGGAGGGGAGGCTGGTTTTGTTCCTAATGCCCTTTTAGTTTTTAAATCAGGAATGAATGCAGGAAATTTTACAAGGTATACATACATTTTGTCATAGATAATTTATTTTCATAGCAGTTAGCGTAGGCCTACATGGTTTTGTGATAGTTTAAGTTGAGATACCAGCATTTTATTACCATCTCATTTCTTCATGTTTTCTTTTCTTTATATCAGATGGCTTGAGCAGAAGCTTATACCTAATCTCCCTCCTAGCTCTGTTATTGTGCCAGACAACACGTCCTATCATAACGTTCAGGATGACAAACCTCCATCATTTAGCAGTAAGACGGACATAATGAAGATTTGGTTGGATGCTACCCAGAAGATTCAGTGAAAGTAAACAACCCCAGATTTCACAAGTTCTCAGCTGACAGCCTTTTGGCAACTGTTTGCCATCCTACTACCCAGAACTAAATCCCACTGAAAAAAATGTGGACAGTGGCTAAAAACCGGGTGGCGACAAACTAAAAAATTCCAATCGCAAGTCGTTCGAAAATTGGCGGAAGAAAAATTCTCCTCCATCACCAAAGAACACTTGGTCAATAACATTGTTGAGGAATTGGTTGTCGACCTTGGGTCACTGGATTCAGACATCAGTTTGGACGGAATGCTACCGCTTTCGTCAGATTCAGAGTGAAGCGGCACTGTGGACCAGAGGTAGGAAAAACCAAACTCATTATTAGAAAAGTGGCCACACTGGTTCCCCTCCACTCGGGCAACCCCTACTACTACTGAACTCCCCTCTCTCTTGACCTCTACACAGTTGCTCTCATAATGTTCCTGTTATGGTTTTCTAAAATATTTACTGCCCAATAAAAAAAATAAGAACTGAATGTAAATTTTTTGCATGTTTAATGAGGAACCCCCCCCCCCCAATTAATGGACAAAATGTCAAAATTATAATTGTCAGAAAAGATAAAATGAGGTTCTATGCTCCACCAGCGACATCCGAGTATCAAAAGCATTTTTTATTCACAGTGCACATCACAGACATATATATATATGCAATACACAATACAAAATCTTAAGTTCCTATAAATGTCTTAATGACCAAATGTGGTTGCTGGGATTTTCATGTTGTTTGAGCAGAAACAGTAATTTAGTGCATAACAAACAGTTTGCCCATTTAAACGTCGTCTAACCCACATTGCAAACGTATTAATGTCCATGTGAGGCATGGTATTGCTTCCTGCAGCACTAAATTTGGTGAAAGGCATTTTCTTGGCAGCAGGTGGCATTATTGAGCGAAACCTTTTCACCTCTAGTTAAGGCCACTTTGGTATCATATTGCTATCTTGGCCTCCTTGCCCCTATGGCGTCACAAGGACACAAGCTTGGGCGGGACTGAATCTGGGCTGGACAGATCAACGCAGCCTGTAGAGTTGCGCTGCTGACTTGAACATGATGGCACAAGAGGTGTAGACACAGGTGTCAGTCCTGTCCCTCCTTCCATGAGGGACTCAAAGTTGAATGGAATCCCAGTAGAGGGGGTTGTGATG